TGGTTTTTCAGATTTATAACCAAGAGGAAGAGACATGTATACTTCTTCATCTAGATCCCCATGTAAAAAGGCATTAGTTACATCTAGTTGATGTAAATACCAATGTTTGGAAGCTGCTAAAGCTAGAACCAATCTTACTGTTGTGAGTTTGACAACAGGTGAAAAAGTCTCAAAGTAATCTAAACCTTGTTGTTGTGTGTAGCCTTTGGCTACTAACCTTGCCTTGTATCGTTCAATACTCCCATCAGCATGCCTCTTTATTTTGTATACCCATTTACATCCGATAGGTTGCTTTCCATTAGGTAGATCAGTCAAAACCCAAGTTTTGGTATTTTCTAAAGCTGCAATTTCTTGATCCATGGCATTTCTCCAACAATCATGTTTGATGGCTTGGTTATAGGTTTTAGGTTCACTAACTTGGGAAAGATTAAGGACATATGATTTATGAAGAGATGATAATGCATCATATGATAGATATGAAGAGATAGGATATAAGGTACATGTGGATGATTGAGCGGCGGAAGAAGTAGATAACATGTTGCAATGATAGTCCTGCAGATAAGATGGTGTATGTTTTGGCCTGATTGATTTCCTTTGTGGAGTAGCAGTGACAGGTTCAACAGAAACAGACTGAGAAGAGAAAATAACAGGGTCGAAAACAATAGAAGGAGGAGATGTAAGTGGCAAAGAGGGTTGATCAGTAACTTCTGAGAAAAGAGGTGATGGAGGTGAAATAATTTTGGTGACAAAATCCAAGGAATTTTGTGTATCAATAGGTGAGTGCTTGTCACTAGTAAGAAAAGGAAATATATTTTCATAAAATACTACATTCCTTGATAGAAAAATTTCCCTAGAGTTGAAATCTAATAAAAGGTAGCCTTTCACTCCTGTTTTAAAACCTAGTAAAACACATTTTCTTGCACGAGGTTGAAATTTTGTTCTATGAGTTTGAAGAGTTGAAGCATAGCAAAGTGAGCCAAAAACTCGTAAGTAAGTAATGTCAGGTTTAACATTGTGTATTTTGGAAGGTAAAATATTAATGAGTTGCACGACATAACGAACAACAAAAAACCAGAAAATTATGGGCAAATGAGATTGAAACATTAAAGATCTAGCAACATTGAGAATGTGTTGATGTTTTCTCTCAACGACTCCATTTTGTTGAGGTGTTTCAACACATGATAATTGATGTTGTATCCCTTTTTTTCGATAAAAAATTGTCATTGCAAACTCATTACCATTATCTGATCTAATAGCTTTTACATCAATGCCAAATTGTGTTTTATATAAGAAACAAAGCCAATAAGTTGTGATCTTGTATCTGATTTACTTACCATTAATTTAATCCATGTGTATCTAGACATATCATCCACTATAGTTAAGAAATATTTAAAACCATCAACAGAAGAAGTACTATAGGGCCTCCAAATATCAACATGAATTAAATCAAAAGGAGCTTTTGAAACAGTAGTACTTAATTGAAAAGACAATTTTCTTTGCTTAGAATAATGACAAGCATCACAATAAGTGTATTTTGTATTGGGTAAAGTGACATACATGTTGCGTAATTTGGTATAACAAGAAAAAGAAGGATGACATAGTCTATAGTGCCAAATATCTATAGAGTTATGTCTTATTGTAGAACAAGCAATAGAATTCTCATAAGTAATAGCAGTTGGTGAACCAAGGGGTGTGGGTGCAGGAACTATCATGACATACAAGCCATCTCTTTCTTCAGCTTTCCCAATCATCTACAGGGTTGACTTGTCCTGTATTTCACAGGAAAATTCAGAAATGTTAAGTTTACAAGATAAAGATTTAGTTAACTTTGTGACCGAAATAAGATTGACAAAAAAATTAGGAATAAACAAGACATTATGTAAAGTAAGGTGTGGGCTAAGTGAAATTGTGCCAGAAAAATGAGCAAATGAAGAGTTCTTGTTGGGTAGTGATACTGTAATTGGTGAGATTCTATGATAAGAAATAAAATGAGACAAAGAATTGGATATATTATCAGTAGCACCTGTGTCTAGAATCCATTGGGAATAGATATTACCTTAAGCCTGAGAAGAAGTGGAAGCATTATGAGAGCTCACTAGATTGGTAGAATGTGGGATTGTGGGATTAGATTGAGGAAGAAGTGCCAATAGACCATGAATTTGCTCTTGAGAAAGTCCCAGAGTTGCAGAATGTGACTGTGCCAGAGAATTATTATAAGAAGGAACTACTGTAGAAGAATCTGTTGTAACATTGTGGACTCTTTTGGATTTGAGATCAGGTGGTAATCCATGTATTAGAAAGCAAGTATCAATGTTGTGGTTTGTCCTGCCACAGTGAGTGCATTGTCGAGGTGCACCAAACCTTCCCCCTGAGGAACGAGCCTGAGAACCTTGATAACGAGCCTGAGAACCTTGATATGAAGATCTTCCCTGGCCATAATCATTGGCAGGAGAGGGTTTACCTCTGCCATTGAAGGTAGAAAAAGAAGGTTTAGATTGAGAAACTTGTGACGCCATGACTGGAGGTTGAGAAAGAATTCCTGATTGTAATTATCACTCATGTTGAATTATCATCGAAAATTTTTTGGGTAAAGAAGGCCAGGGATCCATGAGAAGGATCTGAGAGCGAACAACAGAGTAATTATCATTCAAGCCTCTAAGAAAACAAAGAACACAGTCATTTTCACGATATTCCTTCATTGTCTTAGAAACAACACAACAAGAAGCAGAAGATTGAGATTCAGGAATAGGGCGAAAATTGCAAAGTTCATCCCAGAGAATCTTCATTTTAGTGTAATATGCAGTAACACTTAGATCAAATTGATGCATTGAATAAAGATCTTGATGCAATTGTGAAATTCGAACAGAATCACCTTGGGAGAAACGATCTTTGAGATCCTTCCATGCCGCAGCGGCAGAGTCAATCCAGATAATACTTGTAGCAATCTCATGAGAAACAGAATGATTGATCCAAGATAAAACTAGATTATTGCAACGCTTCCATGCTGGAACCATGGGATCTGTACCAGCTGGACAAGGAATGGAACCATCAACAAAGCCAAATTTATTCTTCATTTGTAGTGCCATAGCCATCGAGCGAGCTCCTCCATGATAATTGTGACCTTCAAGAATCGGAAAAACAAACACCTATGAAGAATTCTCGTTAGGATGAATGTAATAGTCGTGTGAAGAACATGTCTAATTATTTTCAATAGATTTTTTCTTAGTTACCAAACTCAATCTTAAGAACTCATTTAAAATATTGGAATCTAATAAACTCATATCCAAATATTACTAAATTCACATAGTTTCAATCGAATCAAGTTAATTGAAATTGGTGGATTCAAACATTCCAAACAAAGAAAACAAAAAGATAAGAACAGTGTAATGTCTCCAGTTCTCCTTTTTATTTTTATTCCCTGCAATTTTTACCTAACAAACAAGTCAAAGATACAAAGAAAACTAAAAATAAAAATACGCAAAAAGGTGAAACGACACACTGAAAAAATGACTAACTTGACGTTGTAGTATATCACAATAATCAATGTGAATAAATATCACAATTCCAATATTCATTAGTTATACTTTTAATCTATATTCCGCAAAGTCTATAATTTTGGTTTATAATCTTTTTATCTAATTTTAGTCTTTAAATTTTTTGTTAATCAATTATACTTCTTAGTTTTTTTAATTATTTATAACTTTGCTTAATTTTCAATTCTAAATGTTCTTGATTACATTTAATATAAATTTGTTTCATATACTAACTTAAATTTTAAATTAATAAGTTTTTTAACTTACTTAAATATAAAAAATAATATTTAATAATTATATTTTGTAGATACAATCATTAGTATTTGTCTTCAACTTATTTAATGAATTTTTCCTTTCCATTTCAGTTGGGCAGCTTTAAAAATAAGGTGAAACATCTTAAACGCCTAAAAGTATAATCCATATTTATTAAAAAGTAAAAAACTAATTTAATACACACAATAAATTATCCGGCATAACCAAATCTTTTTTAAATTAAAAAAGAATTAGAAATAAATATTACAAATTTAGTAAAATATTAAAAAATCAGAACTATCATGAAGGATAAAACGTATATTCATAGTTTTCCAAGAAATTTTAGAATCGTACTTGAATAATGATAATAATTTGTATTTTATTAAATTTATGTATATCCATAAAGTACAACTTTAAAAATATTAGAGAATATAATAATGTGTGTATAAGTATTCTGCTTATATAAATCATGGTAAAACACATTTAAGATCTGAACCGTTGAATCTTTGATCAGATAATCATAGACATTAACTGCATGAATGTGTGAATTGCCACTGCACTGAATCGAGTTTCCCCTTGAACAAACAATCAACATAGCAGGAGAAGTCGAAAAGCAGAACCAATCCTTACCTTCCTCTTCTCAACAACATCCCAATTCCCAATATAACATAATCTCTCTGAACCCTTTCCTTCTGTGGGCCTCTCTATCCCCAACACTCCATCAAACCTTTCCTACCAAATCATCGCTTTTAGTAAATACCCTCGTCATCTCTTTCATCTCAATCACACCCCTACACTCTTTCACCTATTTCCCCAACTGGGTTCGGATCAAAAATCTGATTTTTTTGCCTATGCTTTTCTGAAAGCCATGAATTTCAGGAGCTTGGAGGATTTCTGGGCCTTTTATGTCAACCAGCATTCCAAACCATCCACGAGGAGGTGGCACTTTGTGGGCACGCTCTTCAGTATCTTCTTCTTGCTCTGTTCTTTTTTCTTCAGCTGGTGGTTCTTGTTCTTTGTGCCCTTTTCTGGGTATGGCTGTGCCTGGTACAGTCACTTCTTTGTTGAAGGGAATGTTCCGGCAACTTTTGGACACCCCTTTTGGTCGCTCTTGTGTGATTTTAAGATGTTTGGGTTGATGCTTACTGGGAAAATGGATAGAGAGATCAAGAGGCTTGGGAAAAGACCTGTGCTGCAAGTTTTCTGATTTCTAGTGATCGGATTGGTCCCTTTTGTTTCAGGTGAGTTTGCATGTGAAACTGTATAATAATTCTGTGTTTCAATATTTTCTTTTTCTCGAGTTTAGTTTCTATGCACTTTCAGTGCAAAATAATTTACAAGGTCAACAAATCAGAAATCAATCACAAACCATTTTTGGCAAGACTTGGAAGTAGGAGAATTTCCACATGTTGTTTCTTAATGAGCTTCTTGAAGAAATATATTAGAGATTCTAGGTAGCTGATAAAGTTTCTTCAACTTAAAAAAAGTTTATTGTATGATTCATTTAAAGTAAAACCGAATTCTCAACGAAGAGTTAAACAGATCCCTAAATTAAATTTATTTAAAATATAATAGTACAACTTAAAATATATAAAATTACGATTTTCTCAAGGTTTCTTGACATTCTTTACCCTTATAGAAAGACTTTCACATATTAATCTTTTCTCTTTTTTGTGTGCGTGTATAGTGAGTAGATTTTGTTTTCATTAACTTTATCGGCTATGGATGACTTTGCTGAAATATATGGATGATTACATTAACTGGGTGAGAACAACCTGTGCGTGAGTGTGATGCTGCAATTTTCTGGACGGAGTGACTTTGCTGAAATGACATAGTTTGGCACAGATATAAATTGAAGATACATGAATGTTGGAACTGTTTTGATAATACTTGCATTTCCTGAAAATCAAATGCAATAACATTTTCTAGGTAGACGCAGTGCATTCCAACTATGTAACATGATTTAATAAAAGAATTCACTCTGAGCTAATTTCATAAGGTATTAGAAGCTAATTCCAGGTTACCATCATACCATTGAGAAGATTGCACAAAAACGATGTGTTAGGATTTTACTAAACTTAGCTTCTACTTACAAATGGCATTATATTATGAAGTTTCTTTGTACAATGGGTTCAGAAAGGACATCATTTTCAGCTCTAAATCTCTTTTTACGAATGTTTGTATAATTCTGAAAGTCCCTTCGTGCATTTTCTTCTGCTTAGTATGCTTTTAACAAAGTAACCTGAATGAGTGTGTTTTTGGTATAGGTTCGCAATGACTTTGCAAGATTTGAAAGAACCCTTTTGAATGGCATCACAGGCGATAAGAAGAATACCAATTTGTCTTATTACACTTCATATTCAGAACTTCTGTATGTAATTGAATAAAACAATCATTAGAGTTACTGAATTTCCATTTGATCATCTATAAAATAGTTTTTTGCTTTTAAATAGTTTTTGAGTTAGGATTGTATAAAGGCCTCTCTTTGGTGTTCTTCCAATGATTTTCTTTAACTTTCCCTTACTGGTAACCAAAGAGATTGAAGAGATATTTTGCATCATGACTCTTGTTTGTATATTAATGTATTTGCGTGTATTAGAGGTTGAGCATCAAGAGAGTTGGAAAAAAAAATTGAGTTCTGAAATTGTAATTTGTTCTATTATTAGCTGAATGAGTGCATGACAAATATAAAACATACAAGGAGCTTACTAACTGTGTAACAATAGATTACTAACTGAATATAGAGGTCTAGAATGTTATAGAGTTATTTGTATTCACCTTGGAGGTGTATTGACTCATCAAGAATCTACCAACATTTTTTATTGATAAGCATTGAGGGTTGTATACGAAGTGTATCTCAGTTCTCAGTTCACAAACACTGTTTTTATCTCTGTTCAGATTCATCTGTCTTTATCTCTCAAACACTTTGGTGGCTCCTTTCTTCTACCCTCACTTGCTTTCGACATGGGAACAATTCCTACATCCATGTATTTAGCAACTCTATCAATTTCTTGCAAAGGTTGGTAACAAAGGTTAACAAGGGGGTTTTTGGTATGAGTGGTGACGAAGAGCTATTGCTAAGTTTTATATGAAAGTTACTGGTAGCAAATTGAGAGGTGAACCTTATTGTGAGAATCTCGAAACAATGAAAAAACTCTAGGAATTGTCTAATAAATCAATTCTCAACAATCAATTGTTGAATCAAGCACCTAAAAAAACTATGCTGTTAATAGCAAATTTTCAACTCTACGAACACATCAGCAAAATCATGTTCAATAATAAAATTCGAGAAGTATTTGAATTGTGAAACATTATTTACTAAATATATATTTGCCACTCTTTTTAATTTATATGTGATGTCTATTTTTTCGTTATACTTATTTGCAACGGTGTGATGCTATTTTCGTTTGATTCTTTTTTATGCTAGTTTAAACATGGCTTAATATTTCTTTTGGTCTCTTGAAAGAAGAAGATTGTTCAAAGTGGTCTTATCTTTTTTAAAAAGTTTGAAGCGGTCCCAACTTGTGAAAAACTGGGTCAAGTTAATCCTTTTGGTTACGGTGTCAAAATTTTAATGGTGCAGTTGCCTCCTTGGCCAAAACTTAATGAGTTGTCCTCTTTTTCTCATACGTGACACACTGAGGCAATATAACGTGTCAATTTTGAACTTAAAAAAAAACAAATTGCTTGCCACATCAACTTCATCTTCTACCTCCAGAAACGTTAGAGCCACAAACCGTCGTTGTCAACACCTCATACTGCCGCTAAGGCTATCAACTTCTTCCCAACAACCAGATCACATTTTCCTCCTCTATGTGCCACTGCAACCAAACCAAAAAACCACCATCATCTTCTCCGCTAGACTTTTGAAAAAACTCAGAAACAAAAAGGCGAAACCCAAATCGTAGAGACCTAAAGAAACCCAAATCACAGAGACCTAAAGAAACCCAAATCTCCTCTTTCGAAACCTGCAAGAAACCGCAGAGACCTAAAAAAACACAAATCGAGCCTCATCCATAGCCACCCAAAAACCAAATTCCAGAAAACTCTAAACAAAACTTTGGATGACTAACCCTAGCACACATTTTCCTATTTTTTGCGCTCCCCAAAGACTACTTCTAATGAACCACGAATGTTTTATAGTATATGCATTGTGAATTAATTATATAATTAACATGGCCATAAGAAATGTTATCAATACAGTAAGGATGGTTAATAAATGGCAATCACGACCAATTTAAGTGTCTCGTTGCATCCTCACTCAAGTTCCAAGCTCCTTCTGCCATCTCATCATATAACTGTTTTCGTCTCCAACTTGAATATCCCAAGAAAAACCAGTAATTCTCAACTGGTTCATTTGCCGACTTCAGCTCTTCGATTTTACGAAATGTCGTTACTTGATCAAGTAAGTAAATTCCAGGCAGGATCTTAGATAAAAGATTTCCAGAAACAATTCTAGTTAAGGATAAAAGAGGCATTCTAGTTTCCACTGGACCTCCTAGGGAGAAAGGAGCCTCTTTCAATTTTTCCAATTCTTCTTCCAACCCTAATCGTAGGACAGGAAACCCCAAATTAGCAACCTTAATCCCTCTTTTTTTTAACCTCTCTCACAGTCAGAGGGGGCAACTGCACCATTTAATTTTTAACACCGTAAACAAAAATGATTAACTTGAACCGTTTTTTAAAAAGTTGAGATCAATTGTTACTTTTTAATAAAGATAAGACTATTTTGAACACAACAACCCCTCTTTCGAGGGATCAAAAGAAGTATTAAACCTTGTTTCAATAGAATTATTTTCTTCCGTCAAGCCCTACTTAATTATTAATAAGAATGTATGGAAGCTTAATTCGCAAAGAAAAAACATAAAATATTTCAAATAAAAATTAACTCTTTACATTGTCTATTATATTTTTATTTAAATATTTTGTTTCTTATAATACATATCAATCTCACCTCACATCATTGTTATTTTCCCATCAATTATTGAACAGACTTTTTTCTTGTTTTCTCTCCCTTCTTTGTTTCACTGCTATCTTTACGGAGTACAACTTTATACAGAATAAGACAATTTAGAAAAGTTCCCTCACCAAGATGGTATCAAGTATGATGATTAATTAAGCACACATCTAATTCTTAATTTTAAATATGTAAATTGATGTAATATATATAATATATGAACAATGTTTAGTTAATGCATTACAAAAATTTCTTGCACTATAAAAATTAAGGAGTATTTAAAATTACATTTTAGAAATGACAAAATCCCCAACTGACATTATGAGCAGACTAATTAATTACTCTTGTATGCAAATTCAAGAGTTGGGGAGAAAATTTAAAAGAGAGCTTCCAAAGCAAAAATTAAATCAAGATATGCTAGAAATTTTAGGTCCTCCAATAACTGCAAAACCTTTCATTCATCACTTTCAACTTTTTGCTTCTTTCGCTTGGATGTTGGTGGACTGCACACAAAAATAATATATCACCATTGATATAAATAAAAATCCCATAAAAACACAACAGCCATAAGGAGGTGGTCAATTTACTACCCATCTTTCATCACAAATCAATTGAAGAAACTCAAATACATTACGCCTAAAGACTAATCAAATCAAGATCATGACCACATGATGGTTTATTAATTGGTTCTTGTAAATTAAAAATCTCAAGTATGCATGTAAAGATAAGTCAGGACCGTGTCATGTGCTAGTCCTACATATGATAATTTCTCCTAAGTTATGGACAACTGCTTGAATATTCAACAATACCATGTAACTATAAATAAGCTTGGTAAACGTACCTTTCAATAAATGTTAGTATATCAGCACCAAGACTTGTATTTAGCTCTTCAATATTTGCATTAACCTCATTGCTACATTTCAATAGGTTGCAAGCATCTAAAATTGAAGCTGATCTTACTGCATTAGATATAACTGATGATTCCTTTATCTGTGACTTTAGATGTTCCATCAAAACAAATGCTGCACAGAGGTTCATTGGAAGTTACAAAATGTAGGTAATTAGAAATCATGTCACATAAAGGACACAGTGGAATGATTTTTATGCAGTCAGTAGTAAAAATTTCAATTAATTTGTTTGCAATGAATACAGTGAAATTCAATTCTAAATCTCAAATTCAAATTGCTGGCGCAAATCATGAAGTATGACAACAATTCGCTAGCATTTCATTGTATGCACGCAACATTACAGACACAACCGCAGAGGACAGGCCAGTGTCCTTCAATGATTTCAATGAATGAAAGTTAGCAAAGAACATCCTAAAATCTTGATTGAATTAATTCTTGAAATGAACAGATTGTCAGTGCAATCCAATCACATTTTAAATGTTAAGATTATAACTAAGTCCTATTAAAAGGGATGTGTTTTTCATATAATAAATAGTATAACTTCTAGAAAATTGCCTCACCATTAATATTATCATTATACAACAAAAAAAAGATATATAAATCAACAAGAAATATGCCACAAGGTTTTCTTTTTATTGCATCCACAATCAATGATCATTACTCATATGAAATTTTAAAAAGCATTGCATACAAGGAAAATAAGAGCATAGAGCATACCAATGGCTCGAATCATTTTGAGGTTGAATTTATCAGCCATCTGCTTGCAACCTATCATTTTTGCACGCTGAATGATCAACAATTTCAAGCCAACCAGCATGTCCTGACAATTTTCAAATTTTAACCATCAAAAGTTAAATTATTACAAGAGAAATAGCACCTGAAAGTTAAGGAGAAACCCAAATTCAAGAAACAAGCATATTACCTGAAACTATATTTGCATATCTAACTTTTCTAAGGCATAGGATATATTAAAGGTCATTCTCTAATGAACGAGATATAACTGGCCTACTTTAAACTAGATTTATACATATACCCAGGTCTAAGACACAAACTGACTCTGTCACACTGCCATTCTTTAATGAACTATAATTTCGATTATTTTGTTTTAACAGGTTCAAATTCTTCTAAAAAAAATTAAGTTGTACCAAGAAAATAGAATAAGTAGAATGGTGGTAGACTGGGGAAGATATTTAGTTCCCACAAGAAAAGGCTTAACTTTACTTTTGGTCTCCCAGATATCACAATTGTCTGATTTCAATCAATCCCTAAGGTTTTAACTGCATCAATTGGTTCTCAAGTATTGCAAATATGTGATTTTAGTTTTCTAGGTTCTAATTGTGTAAATAGACTTCCCTAAGTTTGTAGATTTTAGTCTTCCAAACATACCACAAGTCATTGTCACATTATCAAATTCCAATTACATAGGAGCTAAAATCACAAATTTGCAATACTTGGAAGTTCTACTTGGCACAAATGAAATAGGAGGACTAAAATCATACAAGTGTGATACCCAAAAAACCCAAGGCGCAATTAATCCCAAGAAAATCCAAAGCTTTAACATGAAGATATCTTATCTCCATTCCTTTTGTACATCCACCCATCTACCCTCCCCAGTAATATTATAATCCTATTAAAAATGCTAAAAAATGTGATTCCTGCATCCTTTGAAATCTCTGAGCATGACTTCTGGTATCAAAGTTTTGACCAAAACACTAAACTAACATTATCTAAAGCAACCATCCTGGATAATCTAAAACAAAGAAAACGATCATGAAATGTTATCGACCAAATGAATGAACAATTAAAGAGATTTACAATCTCAGACTCTTGAAGGGAGCAAAGCCAAGCAACATCTTCAATCCCAGTCTGGCAATTTTTATCCGGCTCCACCATGTGTTTCAATCTTTTCTTCATGCGTATGCCCTTCATAAGGCCAAAGTGATGACTATAAGATCTGAACTCCTATTAAAATTTCAATTAAAATAAAACAAGTGTTAGTAAGAAAATGGAATAAAAACATTGTAAAAAATGGAATAAAAACAGTGTAGTTCCAAACAACATAAGTCCAAAACAAACCAACCAAGGAATGAAAATTAATGAAACCCCCGAGTAAAATAAACAGACTCACTGAAAGATAACACTACAAAACATTAAATTCAATTTTAGCCTCGCACTGGAAAACTAATTCCGAGTTAAGAATTGAATTAAATTGAAACAACTATAGTAATGCATTGAATAAAACTGTTCTACTAGCAAATTGCTTTTAAAATGAAATCACCCAAACACTATATCTTTGCATCAACATCAGTCTATTAAAAAACAATTCAATTTCAAAATCAATTTTGCAAACAATCACCCATGCAATATGTGATTTTCACTTGTGAAACTAAAATTTGTCACAATTAAAGAATACAAATATCACTAATATTTTCCAAAGAATTTGTGTTGTCGCCAAAAGACCCAAACCCCGAATCTTGTTGAAGTATTTAGTTATTAACAACAATTAATTTATTTTGTTTTCGTATACAGTTTATGTTTGAAAAAAAAAATACAACTTCTGTGACAAATGAGGAGAGTGAGAGTGAGAGAGAGAGAGAGAGAGGCCATTGTGGATTTGCGATTCTGGGAGTGAGAGAAATGAGGAGGTCTGGAAAAAAATCATGACATACTTTACTTCATGCAAAAGACTAACATTAACCACATAAAACCAAATATACCACAATCCGATTTTCATACTTTTTATATGGAAAACAGCAATGAAAATCATTACAAAATTAAAATTTATTTAGCATCCTAAACTCCATCACAGAAACATAGAGAAAAACAAAAGCATACCTTTCACTATGGTTCTCCCCAGCAACGAAACAAATGAAGCAGTTGAAGCTTTCACAAAATCCCCGCTCTTAGTATCACACTATTCTCCCCTTTCACTCCTTTTCTTCTGCCCCCTTTTATTTCACTGCTAGTCGTTTATACAGATTGGGAGGGAGGAGACAATATGAAGAAAATTTTGAAAGTTGTAGATGGAGAGGCTGGGTGTTGTGAAGGATAAGAAATGGAAATTTAGATGGTAGTGGATGGTGAGATGGAGAAAAATTAGGGTTTTGGGAGAGAGGGAAAAAAATAGGGATTTAAGAAAGAGTGGGTGTGAGCGTGAATTTTATTTTTTTAGTTTTATTAGTAAATCATAATAAAGATCATTTTGAATTTCGATTAATTATTCAATATTTTAGTGAAAATTTTCTAAAATTAAATAAGATTTTTTGTTTTGCAGTTTATCTCTTTCTAAGATACGTAATTTTCAAATTAAATAAAATATTTATTTTTACTATAGAATATATAAAACTTATTTTATTATACTTTCATAAAATTGGATAAAAAATATTACCATAAAATAAAATAAAATAATTTTTTTTACCATTTTTAAATTTTATCATTTTCTGTTTTATTCTTCTTTAAATTAGTTATATTTTATTTAATTTAATTTTTTAATAACTTGAATTAAAAAAATGGTGTTATTAATAATAATTACATCGATTATAACTTTAACCTAAATCATTATACAAGTACTAAGAATGTTTTTATTCTAATAATATATTATTAATAAGAATATATAATTGATTCATGTTAAATATTATTATATTGATATTATATATATTACTGTAAATTATTACTAATTAAATTATATATATATATATATATATATATATTATAGTATTATAATGATATATCAAATGGTTATTTTTTGTAGAAATGAGTTTTTATACATTTTGTCCTACATAATTACTAACGGAAAATGATACTTGAACAACCATTTTTGACAACATTTAGACACGCGCACACGTGTCAAAATCCGAGTGGTCCATTTTCATTTAATTTTTCCAACTGGACCACTCAGATTTTGACACGTGTGCGCGTGTCTAAATGTTGTCAAAAATGGTTGTTCAAGTGTCATTTTCCAATACTAAACTCTAAGCAATTGCAAAAGAGTGTTTCACATTAATACATCAATATATGATCACTATGAGTTTGAAAAATCACATTTGTAATATAGACATTAACGGTTACGACTTTTTTTTAACCTTTGTTTGAAAGATATATATATTTTTTCAATATCAAATATAAAAAATTTATAATAATATAATCTAAGTAATAATTTAATAAATATTAAATAGTTATATGATTGAATAAAAATGGTGTCTCAAAAATAAGTTAGAAAACTAATTTTCAAATAAAAGTTAATATAAATTTTTTAAATTACTTGTAAAATTGAAAACAAATGTAAATATAAAGATGAATATTACATCCTGTGAAAAGGAAAAAAATATATGAGTATTTATATATATTCATCTCCTATGACACATTAATTATGTTTATATTCAATTATTATAAAAATTTTAAGTTAAAATTGGGATAATAAATGTTTATTTCCTACTTAAAGAAATATTTAAGTTATTATTCTTTTCTCTACCCAAAGGGGTGTATTCATGAGGGAGATGATTTTAAGAAGAGAGAGTAAATGAATTTGAAAATAAATTGTGTATTGTTTTTTTAAAGAGATTTAGAAATGATTGATAGTAGATTTTGAAATAAAGTTTGTCAAAATTTAAGTGGGATTTGACTAATGTGGTAGATTTTAAAAAAATGTTTTAATGGATAGAAAATAAAGATTATCATGCCTTAGTGGTAATAGTGAGGTAAAATGATATTTATGAATAACATATTCTTTGGTGAAAATTATTTTAAATAGTAGAATAAAAGAAAATTAAAATAATATTTATTTTTTTAGGAAATTCAAATCTTCTTGTTTAAATATTATTTTGTTAAGAATATAATTAAAGTCAATGTACATAATGAAGTGAAGAGATAACTTCATATAATATAATCATGCAATCATAAACCTTTTAATCATTTAATTTGTGCAGAATTAAGTTGACATTAAAATTGACTTTTACCAATTGTCGGTTCATGTCCTAAGATAGGCTTGTTAAGTTAAATTTGCTGAACACATTCTTGCATTTTGTAAGATCCGAGAAAAATAAGGGTCTTAGAAATAAGGTAGTCTTGTGAATTTGGTGTTGTTGTTTGGAAATTAATGTTATTGAGTGTACACCTTTGTTAGAACATAATTGTTATGTTATTTTATTTATATTTTGGCTTAGGGACAAAATGAGTCTTTTACCTTTTATTGATAAAGTGTAAGAAATTAAAATAGGGAGTGTAGAAAGGAAAAGAATACAAATTAAATAATGTAGGAAATTAATAAAAAGATATCATATAAATCTTTTTGAAGATTTAGCTGTTATTTTGAAAAGTAGTTGAAAGAAAATAAGAGATATAATCTTGAGATTAAAAGAGATATTATTATTAGAAAAAGATATTATTAGATATTGTTAGATATTCTAAAAGATATTCTTGGATATTATTATATAGTTAATTAAAAGATATATTGAGATATTATTATATATAATTAGATATTAGGGCTAGATAATAATAATATATAGGTTTAATACATCATTTGGTCTCTACTTTTAGGAGTTTGGTTCAAAGTGATCATATCTTTTAAAAATGTTCAGAAAGACCTCATATTTCGTTAAAAAATGTTCAATCTGGTCCTTTTCGCTCACGCGGTTAAAAACATAACGGTGCAAATGATACCGTGGTCAAACCTGAGTGAGCTATGCAAATCCACTTATAAAGCCTTTTTAAATTTGTCATTTTTCATCTTATGAATGATAAATTTACATTGCCACCTTGCAAATGTTCTGAAATTTTATACTATAACTTATGTTGTCCCTATGAACAGCCTATCAAGTCTTTTTTGGCAGCATAAACTGGCTTAAATAGTGGGATACAAAAAGGGTCGCCTTGCTTCACCTCGTTAAAAAGAATATAACGATATATAGAGAATTAGCCAAATGCTATCTCCTGAAGAACTTCAAGTGTCTTCTTATGAACCTGAAAGGCAAGAGTAATAAACAAGAGAAACAATAATTAGGTGATCATAGACATGGCTGTTTAATTTAGAAGATAATTTAATCAGCAAAACCAAACATCCATTCGCATGATGCCACCAATCATCACGGCTTCTAGTAATAATAATGCTCTATAGGAGTAACAATTGACTATTTAAGATTTGAACAGTTCTTCAGGCACAATCTATTTAGCTTAAATAAATGGGGATGCGGAAATTTTTGTGTAGCAAGTTTGCCTTCAATTGTCAAACTTATTTATTTGATTTGAGAAATTATTTTCAGTTTGCATGTCCAATTTTCACAATATAAAAGTATATCTTGTTTTAACTATCATAAGAAATGATGAAAATTACTATTTTTTGTTTTTATCAATTTTGCAAATCTTTGAAAACAAAATTAATGTAGCATTTGTTGTAATTAGTTTAAAAATATAATATGAAAACAGGGAACGTTTTCACAAACTAAACAAGTCTATGGGGATATTTGGTTTGATAAAAATACTTTCTGCTCGTTTTCAAGTTTCCAATACAAGGAACCTTCTAGCACATGAATTCGCTAGTTTTTATAATACATACTCGACAGGGTCATTGACCTTGAAAATTGAAATATTTAAGAACTTGAGAAGAAGAATTACCCATTCCAGATGTTGTGCAGTGATGCCAGAGTCAGTTCCAGCATATAAACCAGACAAAACCTGTTAAAATAAGAATTGAAAAACATTAGTTTGAAATGCATCAAACAAATCAAGATCATTCAAATCTAATGTGACAATCAGAGTGTTTATCAGGAAATATGGGAGACCGTATCATGGTGAAAAAGAACAGGTGTCCACCACGTAAAATTTTCAACTGGACCATATATTTTATGTTCACTTGGCTTCAAAACAATAAATTAAGAATGTAGTGTTTTCTCTCACCTTGGATACTGTCTCAAGAAACATGCCAGGGCGTACTGGAAGTGTTTTCTCTCCCGTTAAAATTGGCTGCAAATCATCGCAGACAAGTTAAATATGCCTTAAAGTGTCTATAACTTGCACACATAACAAAACACACCCCTTAGTTAAATAACACACGAGCAGGATGCAATTCAACCCACCTTTCCTAGAAATTCAATTGGTTCGGGATCCATAGTGTCCTCCTCATCGTACTTGTCTGCACCTTCATCTTTTCCTTGCATCACATTTCTTATCATATCAAGCACCTTTTTCCCAGGTTTTAGAGCGACCAATTTGGTCAAGAATTCCACCTGCATTGTCAATAGTTTAAGGATGCCAAGATAATATTTCGGGCACAGAAAGATGATATCTGTGTGGTTTTGATTTCCCATCCCTTTTAGCAACAAACAACAATATCTTGTGAAACGGAAATGTTGTGCTAGGCAAATATTTCAGTAGAAGTGACAACCATGCTTAAACCAAAATATGGAAACTATACTTCAAATACCTCAGGCTGAGGAAGCGTATAGAATCCACGGTGGTTTCTTTCATCCATAATTCCCCCTCCCATCATATTGCGAGCTTCTTCTCTAATCAAAACGAGTCTTGCAAGCAGTTTTCGGTCTGGGATAACACGACGATTTTCCATTGCCTGCAAAAATATGGCCCAACACCAAAAATTTGCCAGACAGTTTCGGTAAGATTGAAGCTGCTCCTTAGAGACATCGAAATAATTTAATAAACAGATACTGATAGCAAAACAAAAATAACTAAGAGTATAACACCTAAATTTTAGAACCTTCGAAGTCAACTACTCTAGAAAGTCAGCTACACCTAAATTGAGAAGGCATGCTTAGTCATAATACAAGTTGTATAACACATGACACAAAAAGAATAAAAAACCCAAATGTATCAGTAATCCGATTCATATGATTTGCAGACGTGAGAATGAAAATACACAAAAAGTCGGTATGGGGAATTTTGTGAGTCGTGACTTGTAAAAGAGGATAACGCAATTTAGACCAATCCCAAGGTCTTCAAGTACATTTTGCTCTCATCGTCCAATACAAAGAAAATAAAATCATTACCCAAGTATGAGTACTAGACATTTTAAAGTTCAACAGACAATCTCAGTGGATTTATATAAGTGAAGTTTCTATAAATACCTCCAACAAATCATCAGCTTGATTAGCTATGTCATTTAGATTTGCCCCTGGAATATGAATCTTCAAGTCA